TTGAAGTAACAAGAGTTCAAAATTTTATTTTATCACATTCGATTTTATAATTATAGGCAAAACTGTTTAAAAGCATATATTTTTAATAAAGGCCTGCATTATAACAAGGAATAATATAACACAATGTTTATTAAACTACAACTACAACTGTCACCAGCTGAAAATTAAAATCATTTATCTGATCCTTTTAATAGTAAAAACCCCAGACAATCGTCTTTCTGAAGCAAAAAAAAACTTGAGGGCATAATGAGTACGTCTGGAGTAATGAGTAACGTTAATTTAAATTAAACTACAGAATTCCACAGTACTTTATCAGTCACCTAATTATTTAGAGTGAATTTTATCAAAGCTTGAGATAAAAAATATAAATCGCGTTGTTTTTGTTCTGGCCACAGGGGTTTGATTTTTTATCGATAGCTTTTGTAGTTGATACAAGGAGCATTTCCCCTCTACCAGACTGGAACGCCTGAAATAGTCGGAAACTGCAACTGCAAGGTATTGCTACTAGAAGGCTAACACGGGTCCGTCTCTACTAAGAACTGCATAACTTTCGGTTGTTCCGTATCAGCTTTGATGTCAGTGTCCACTAAATTTAATAAAAACATTAATGGGGATTAGAGATTTAACGCCATCTCGGTCAGCATCGATACTTGCTTTTCCAAGTAATTAATTTTTTCCATCAACGACGTAACGAAGTCTTTTCGCAATATGTTGTTATTTTCTTCCGGTTTCTTGACTAAATTTTCTGCTTTTGTAATATTTACTACTTTTGGCATACAATGCTTCACATACAATTCCTTGCAGTTAGCGACATTCCAATACTATAACTTTTTGAACTGATGGATCAACTAACCCATTATTGCTAATACTCCACTTATTTCTAGCGCTTCCATTCTGAAAATGTAAAGTGATGTGAGGGCACAAACATTATTGTTAAAAATAAATGAGCCTGGGAAAAAAATTGTTAAAAACAAATCTTTTATAATATACTTGAATTTATTATTATTAATATTCCATATCGAACATGAGGCACCTTGCCTCAGCAACGGTTACCTATTCACTGAATGTACGTATCGTCATCAAACATGTATCAATTACGCGACTTGAGAGCTTCTACGTATGCTCATGGCTTAGCGTCCCAGCGCCACGCGCGTAATTTCAAATTTCCTTATGTTCTAACTAGCAGCCCCCCGTCTCGGCTTCGCCCGAGACTTACTAAATAAAACACCGTTGTGTGTTGACATGTAATGTGAAACGTTTTAAGTTAGAAATTTTACACATATTCCTGATACATCTCAAAACAAAAATCTTCTTATTGAAAACATACTTTTTCGGAATCCGTATAGTTTATTTGGTCAAATAATAAGGTGTAAAAATTAAAAAAAATAATTATGCTGAAAATTACCGTGCGTTCTTTATGCCATAAAATAATCGGTGGCCATAAGAAGCCGTTGATTTACAGTTTCTCCCGTGTAATTCACGAAAACGGCTATTTTTTAAAGCTGTTAAGATTTTAAACCCCCAAAAAATTTATATTAAAAAAAAATTTTTTTTCTCATATCTCACAACTTTATTACCAGAGCAACAAAGTCCTGGACCTTAAACCCTACATTTTTATTGCCACAAAAACACAAATACATTTTCTACTTATTTAAAAATCTGAAGTAGGATCTTTAAAGATTTCAGAGATTGCTGTGAGGGTACAATGAAAAGCTGATCTCTCACGTAATGGACTCTTTAGTTGTCGATTTTGACGCTGCTGTTTCAATCTCGATAAATTTTCTGCGTCAGTTTCTTGACGCCTAAGTAAAATTGTATTTATTAGATACACTTGAAGTTTTTCTTCCAATTCACCCTCTTGCGACTTTTGGCATGCTTAAAATTTTTGTGACCCCTAAAGGCTGTTTTCTGTCAACTTTGTTAAGTTCTAATATATTTGTTGGCAAGGTAGTTCGACGTCCGATGGCCCTAAAAAAGACCGGTGAGCTTCTTAAGTTAACTCTTTCTTGACTGCAGTTAACAGCAATTGTGACTGCCTGGATACCTCAGGGTGATCTTCTCTGGCTTGCTGTTGAAGACCCAGACTGATTGGGAGAAAAATTACAAAGTCCGAAGCTTTGGGGCTAGTTGTAGTGCTCTTTCCCAACGTCTCCCGGTATAACGTCGAAGACGTTGGTGTCTAAAGCACCTTTTTTATTTGCAGATTCAGTTGTTTTGGTGATCTTAGATGGGGAGATTGGTTAGTGATACTTGTCCAGTGGAGGCTGTCCCGTTGGCTCAAGTTTTTTTTCCTTCATAGCTGTTATAGGTTTGCCCAACGCAGACCTTGGAGAGGATCAGTGATTCCTGGTTGAATGCTTAGAGTCGAGAGGGTAGTATAGGGTCGTCGGTCACCGGGTTTTCCAGCCTTGCGAAGAACAACTCCGCAGGTGACGTCTGCTAGTGAATGGCTGACTTGGTTTAATAGTGCCCGTCTTTAGTTAATATAGTCTTTTAGTCGACGAATCGCTTCCGGAAATGGTAATAAAAATGTAGTTGTTGGCAAGGTAGTTTGTATTTAGGTGGATCCTAAAAAGAACCGATTAAATTGATGGTTAAGTAGGGAACGCAAATACTTATAATGGCGCTAAAAAGCGCCAGTGGTGAAACTTCCAGGCTATTCTTATTCCTGATGATGAAGAGCTGGCTACGGTTGCTTGATTCTTACCCTGGGAGTCTCGATGTACGGAGACTGTGATGGAAGAAGGTACGCTGCTGACCAAAGAATATCTCGTCTCGGGTGGTTCCCCGGATAACCAACCGCTCATCGTTAGACGGGAACATGTGGGTAAGCGCGTTGGGGACGCGACGACTAAGAAGGTAGCAGTTGTGGCTGCCCGTGCTGTTCAGAGCTGTTTTCCCTGGCTCACATTTGTAGCCACAAATTCTCTGACTGTACCAGGCGGGATGCTGGGACTGCCACACAACTCTGAAAAGTTGGTGCAGATTGTGCTCGGGCTAGATATTATGTCTCCGTGTATTGAGGCAGAGACGGCATCGGTTGGAATCAATTTTTTTTTATTTGATCGCACTCGTCGAGAATCAGGGTGAATGGACACCTAGGTCCCTTCCCCCTTAGAGAAGAGTGTAGTCCGTAACCGGGATACTTAGCTGCAAGACTATCATCAGCATTCTCTATACAGCTCGTTGAAATGCCGAAGCTCGGCTACAACAGTTCGGAGATGCTCCAGCCTATTATAACCACACTTATTTTATTATGTTGCAGGTAGCTTCGATTTTACGTCGACGCCACCTAGCGGATTTTACTGAACTAAAGTGAAAAGCTGACGTATTTTTGCTAAACTTTGAGCTCATTTATTGCTATTGTTATTAAATTTCTTAAGATGAAAACTATACTAAAACCATCTAGGAAGTATCATGAATCAGTGTGCAAAATTTCAACAAAATCGGTTCAGTAGTTTTCGCGGTTAGCGATTACAACGGTTTTAGCGCTTCTGCTTTATATATTAGTAAGATAATTACAGTTGGCTAAAAGTGACTGTTTAGTCAAACGCTGGAGACTAGCTTGGGGTAGACGCTGCTGTGCACGTGAACTTTTTGCCTACCCAGGCATTAGGTGAGTGCAATTGAACTCATGTTCCTATTTATAATTAGTTAAGCTTGTATAAAAAAGGCAAAAATTTTTTAATGAAATATTGGCACTTCACAGCAACGCCCACTAGTTTGTATGGTTTGTATAATATGTTTGTATAGTACAAAACTCGATGTTTCACGCTTGTTTGGTATGTGCCTTTATAAACACAGCTACCAACACCAAAGTGCTTCACAGTACTTACGAATCAAGAAAGAAAACCGTATATATATATAGACAAGCACACGTATGCGTACGTATAGTTTTCGAAGCACTCCAATTATAACATGTACAGTTAGCCTATCATTAAAATCAAATTATTTTTTAATATGGCGTGTATCCCATTAATTTATTACTTTGTATTACGAATAAGAACCGTTTTGTCAATGGCCTGGACTAGCATTGCATTGGTACTGTACCAGACAGAAATAACTAGGCTTACCTTGAGATGTTAATAACATGAAAAGTGCATTTTTCGAATTTAAGTCTAAAAAAAAAAAATTACTCCAAGTCGATTTGATAGTTTGAAATAAGGCTTTTATAATTAAAAAAATAGCTTCATAGGTAGTATACAGGACTTTACGTGATCAATACACTATATACTTACATTTTAGGAACACATTAATGATGTCAGAAGGTGATTTTATACACAGCAACAATTTTAGAAACTAAAGTATTATTTCGTTCACACATTAGGAAAACACTACTGTACTTACTATAAGACCGAGCTATTATGTTATTTTAAGTGGCAATAAAAGAAAACTATTTAGATAAAAAGTGAACAAAAGAAGTTCTAACGCTTTTTCGAAAAATTTTTATTTAAATGGTGATAATTATAACTATACATAAAGATGACCACGGTACTGCAGTGATTCAGGCTGCGGTTTTTATTATTCGGGGACTTGGTAATACATGTTTAGGAGTTTGGTAATACACGTTCAGGAGTTTGAGACTCAGCCTTTACTCTCGAGGCTTTTACGTGGTTTTTATCTCTGGAATTAATTTGGTAAACAACTTTGTAAGGTAAAATATAAAAATACTGTTACCACGAATATCACAGTAAGATGATTAAATATTTTCTCCTTCTTCGTATCTATATTGTAAAACTACTACTTCTCAATGAAAATAAATTTAGTGATAGAGCACAAGAAAAATGTTATAACTTTCTTGCTCCTTTTTAATTATAATAAAATGAAACTTTTAATAAATAATTAAAACATTTAAAAAGTCTTGCTAACAGTGCATAAGAGCTTTGAACATGGTCTACATTTTTATTGTGTATTAAATATTTGTAAAAGTTTTAGCAAAATATTATTGTTATCATATTTATATAAAATCAAACGCCTTACATGAAAATTATATGCATTACCTGTAACACTTGTCTAACTTGTTGAGCTACATCTGGTCTTGGACCCAGTTCCAATAATCTCCTGGCAAATGACCTAGCTGTCTTATAGTTTTTATATTTAAATAATGTATTTACAGCTGTCCTTAACGTAAGAATTTGATGAACTGGTTGTAAGTGACAATGTGTAAAGTAAGCTACCATTTCACAAATTCTTTTTTGGTTATCCGAACTTGTTTTTAAAATGTTTTTTCTTTCACATTCTATTTTTAAAACTAATATATACTCTCGACATATTTGAACAAGTTGTTGAGCTTCAGCAATATCTTGCCTTGAATCTAAAGCTAGTAATGGTATACTAAGAAGAATTGACTGCAGCTTGTCGATGGCTTCACTAAATTTTCCAGCTGTAGTTAAATGATAACTTACTTGCAAATGTTGAACAAGGTCAGAAAGATGTAATGCTATAGCTGGAAAACCTAACTTTGAATGATTTTCCTTAAAGCTTCTTAATAAAAGATTGTGTAGTGAAGGTAGACTTGTCAGTAACGATATAGATGCTTTTGAACAAGAATATAAACTCGTAAAGATTGGTTTAAATTTATTAAAATTTACCACGCCTATTTGTTCATGTAGCAATCTAAACGCAGATTCATAAGATCCAGCTAAGACATGATCGACAGCTAATTGCGAATTATTAATCCAATTTTGTACCACTGGTATTCCTTTAACTGGACAGGCGAAATAATTATCATTAGATTGTGGTGTGTTAAATGATTCTAATTCAGTTGGTAAATCAACGTCTTCAACATCCCAACCAATATATTCACTCCGATCATTATTATTTTTTGTCATATCATTAGTTGGTTCTTTATCATTTGTTATAACTTCATCTTCTTCACTTCCCCAACCTTCAGCAATCAGAATATTTTCTTGGGGAGTCAAAGAGGAACTTATCTGATTTTTGTTTCTTGCAGTCACTGTTGTATCAAAAAACCCTTTAGATACAGTAAGCAAGGGCCAGTTACAATCTATTTGACTAACAGGTATAGGAGGGCTCATATAAAACGATTCTGTACCAAGGTCAGCACATAAATCCTCTGCGTTATTATTTTCCTCGGAATCATTTTGGCAGCCTAATTTGTATGTCTTACTTGCAACATTAGCTAAAATAAACTGACCAGAATTCTGAAAGAAAAAATATTCCTAAATACACATTTTTCAACTTTCATAATATATAAAAAAAAGAATAATACATTAAAGAAATTTAACTATCCTCAGAAAAGCTTAAGGAAAATATTTATTTATGCACAAACAATTCCCGTTTTTTATTTTCATAGGAATGCATTTTTAACGTTTCAATGACTCAGACAAGTACTTGTGTAACTTTTTCAAGATAAAATAGTATAGTACGTCAGAAGGCAGGGGAGTAGTACATTCCCGTCAGCGTGTATATTGCCACCCGAGGAGAAGCTGAGGGTGGCAAATACGCGGACGGTGATGTGCTATTTTCTTACCGAGTGACGTATACGATTTTTCTTCATACCCGGCGGGAAGTTTGCGACCCAAAAAAAGTTATTTGTTGCTTAATTTAATTTAAAATTAACACGCAGTCGTTCCGTCGTTCAATATGAACGCTCATGCGTTTGTTGATCTAGGGACTCTAGGGAAATAAAGAGCAAGCGAGATAGAAAACAATATATAGCGACTGCTGTACTGTATGCAGCAGCCACGCTCGTAGAAGTCGTTCAATTACATATAAAATTCAATTACACACAAAATTTATATTAAAATCTGTTATACTGGCACTATGGAAATTATATTAGTATATTATGCTCCTGTGACGGTTGTTTTCTTACATGAAAAATTTACTTGGAAATAATATATAAGCTTTGTTCAAATACACTCACACAATCACTTTCAGTACTCAGACGTATAGAGACTGAGTTCTTAATTATTTTTAATTCTTGAGTATAACACTACACACTGGCTAATCATTATTCTTACACTCTGCAATCTGAATATTCGCACGGCATAAGTATTAAGGTTATGATCCAAGTGTTTCGGTTTTCGTCAGCTGAGTGTAGTACATTATCGACTATAGCTGTATACACATGAGTAGCTGACGACTGACATAAGAAAGTAACTAGGGAAGAGCTGCGCAGTACGTTAGTGCGCAACAAAAAAATTCCCGTCCTGGTCAGAAATGCATAACTTCCCAGCCTGAAATCAGGACGGGAATTCGAACTTCCCGTCAGGGTATGATAAAAAATCTTTTTTTGGATGGTCCTACACTATAAGTAACTTAATCGTATATTAAAAATAAATCACAGTAAAAAGTAGTAAATAGATATTTGTGCATTCTTAAAAAAAACCTCTCAGATTCTATAGGAATCTAAATTTTTGTTTACTTTACCTAAATTTTTAGAATAACAGTATCGTACAAGCCTCAAGTAATTTAAAACGCTGTAAAAGTTAAAATTNAAATGTTACATTGTAATCATTATTTATAAGGATCGTAAAATAAGGACAGGAAAAAATGATCAAGAAAGGTACTTTGAAACGTACAACTATAAAAATTTAGACTTAAACGTTCCAAAATCGAATCTTTAGTAGAACACTTTAACATATCAATATTTATCTACAGTGATACAAATCAAGTGATGATTATATTTATATCTGGACCGATAGTCAAACTATCAGTTATAAGCAAAATAAAAAAAATTTGAAGACAACTTAAAATAAAGACAGCTGGTTTGTTAAAAATGACAAAATAATTAATAGCCATACGAATATGTTAAGAAAAAATGGTCAATCAAATTTTAAATGAAGATAAAAGATTCCTCGGAGAAATAAGTACTTTTATATAGGAACTTTTCACGCATTTAGAATTAAAAGAACGATGATGAAACATCGGAAAATGAATTTTATTTTTGAGTAGTTTAAAAATATTACGCAAACAATCAGATACAGCTGCCAAAAAAGGAATGCATCATGCAATGAAACAATACCTCACAGGAGTCAACTACTAATTTAAGTAATACTAAATTAACAATATAGTAATACTTGCGATGAATTACAAACATAAATGAAAACAGACAACATAATGGAAAAAGAAGCATTACGATAGAATGGTACATGAATGACACTAAATTGCGTCAGATCAATCAAACAACGCATGATTTTTTTTTCGATTTTAACATAGGTCAATCGCTTATGGGTCAAAATATCAACAATCTTAAAAAATATTTGAGAATTCTCGCTTAACTGAATGTCAAAGATAAAAATTAAAAAAAAAGACTGTTTATGTTTGTAAGTAACAATACTAATCAAACAATTACAGCAACAACTTCTACATTACATAGCAGAAACCAATTGGTTTTTTTACAAACAACGCTCAGAGATCCAATGATAATAATTTCCTGAAACATTCAAGCAAATCATCATAGCAATGATCTTTAATGTTCGATTATGGCATCACTTTGAAGTACAATTGATTACGTACATCCATAATCAAAATTATTCATCACAAAATCACATGGATCAAAACGATATACGACGAAGTAATAGTATGATGTAAGCTGCTAAAGCTAACTCAACAACGATCGACCTAAGAAAATCTTTGACAATAGAAGGTACAGATGAATGCACAACAGAAATTCGAGTATCAAGCATCAATAGTTAAAAATCATTACTTCCAAGCACTGCCTTTCAGCATAAACGTTGTACCTGACTTACTAAAATTTTCTAGTTATGAATTAAGTTAATAACGTATTTTAGATTACCTTCAAAAATTAATAAATAAGGAAATTGATAATTACAAAAAATGTTAAAGTTCTTACTTTAAGTCTGAAAAAATTTACAGCAGTTAAAGTTTAACATATAATTACGCTTATTAACTCTAGAAGCGACATAATGTGTACATCACAACAGTTCTAATATGATCAATTAGAAAAATTAAGAACACACAAAACGTGACCAATAAACAAAAAAACAATCAAAGTTGCAGTAAGTTTGCGATAAAGTAGTAGGTTTAAAATCTAGCGATTAAAGGCTAAAAATTAGAGCAAGTATGAGAGTAAGAGATTCAGTACTCTAGTTTATACATTCAACTTAACTTATCAATAAACAAAAAATTTATATCAATAAGATGCATGAATAACAAAATGCAGTGACGTTTAAATTAGACACACCTCACAGACTGCTAAACCACCTGTACTTTTTGCTGTTAGACGTGTAAGTTCTACAACCACTTACATATCTACGTATAATATGTCATTTTTAATTTTATTTATTTATTTATTTATTTATTTATAACCAGAGTGTATAAGAAATACAGAGAAATAGAAACATATGAATTTCCTTGCAACCCATATGCAAATGCAACAGGCATATGCAAATACCTATTTGTAGGCTGGTTTATCTTAACTTTAATTACAATATAAAAAGAAATAAAAACGTATAACCTAATAACTATACACCAAAGTACTAGTTAGGCTTACATCCAAACAAAATAATAGAAAGCTCTTTGGAAGAGTTAATAAAAATTTCATATAATATAATTAGTGATCACAGTACTATAGAAGTCAAAACTAGTATACTTATAAAAGCTTATTAGTGCATATCCATTTTCTTATTTTATCTAAATTTTGTTTTTTCGTAGTATCTAATAGTTATTTGTTGATTCACCAAATAATTTTATAGCACATTTATAACTGTTTTTATAACTTGAAGGTTTTTGTTATTTTTGATAATTGTATTAGTTTATTTCTAGTTATACTATTAGAAATCTAACGTTGTTTTTGTAATTCACTGTAATAAAATCGAGTAGACTCAAAATCATAAGGTTGTCTTGCAGATACATGATTCAGCCTCTAACCCCCCTCCAACCCGTTGAAAACACCTTGTTATTCGTTTGTTTTCATGCTGTTTTGTCTATTTAATTACATCTTCCTCCATCTCCCACGCATCCCTGTAATAATGAAAAAAAAAAACTATTTATGTACCAAAATAATAATTTATTTCGAAAACGTTGTTTATTATGAATTAATACACTGTGAATTTTCATATGTCTCTTGAAGTTTTCTAACCTTGAAAATCCTTTTCCACATTTTGTACAAAATTTGTTAAATTTTTNAGAAATGTGGGGTTGGCACGCAGAGCATGCAAGGAGGTGAAGCCCCGCTAGTATGTATCTATATTCTTATTTACAATTTTAAGAAGTCTGTTTTGTATTTTCTGTAGTACATTAATCTAAGTAATACATGCACCATCCAAAGCCCTTCTATGATTCTAATATTTTATGGAATACAAATACTTAAAACTTCCCTTTTTTAACAATATTTTCAATGTGTTTGTCTCATTTCAAATTAAAATCAAAGATTAACCCCAAATACTTTTAATATTCAACCCTTCATTATCCTTCCATCCATAATGGTAATATTTAATACCCGCAGTACGCAAAGTGGGGCAGAATCCCAATAAGCTGGCCAAAAATCGTAAAGTGTTGTAAATGATCTTAAATTTCTCTTTTCGGGAGTTTTCGGGGTCTCTGAAAATATGTTTGTTATCAGAATTATGATTTTCAAAATGGCGCACATAATTTAACCAATTAGTAAAAAAATTAAGTAGAAAATACACAATCGTATTTTTAAGGGTTTTTAGAATCGCTGATTGCGCAAGTTTACAAATTACGGATAACATTATAAAATATAGAACATTCGTAAATGGATCAAAATTTTTTCACCCTTAAAATTTTTTTAAACATTTCTCAATGTAGGTAATGTGGATAGATGAGTATCTAATTTTTTTTAAACTATAGATAAATTTTGGACCAAACAATATTTTGTATTTCAAATTTATTTTCAGCTTCAAATTAAATTAAGATATTACTTGGATTTTTACATCTCGAAAGGGCAACATATAACTGTCCATGAGAAAAAATAAAGGTTTTTAACATATAATCCTACAGAATTAAAACTTTGACCTTGAGATTTGTTAATAGTTATCGAAAACGCCAATACAAAGGGAAATTGTTTTCAGTACAAAATAAAAGAAAGTGATGATGAACTACTTGTACTTGATATTATTTTCAGAATAAAAACTTTACATCCTTATTTGTCACCTGTAATTATTTCTGTTTCTATGTTATATTCAAATAATTTTGTTATTTTTAACCTTGTACCATT